ATTCAATTCATTCTGGTGATTAATTTCAGCTATCTTGAAAGTGAGTTAATCTGTCTTTAAATCATGTATATGAAGGATCAATTCAGGTATTTTGGAAAATCTTTTCCTATGTTCAAATTTTTAAAAAAACTTTAAATTAGTTCAGATATAAAGCACTGTTCTTTAACCTTAGACTTTTTTTTTTTGCACCAGGGGTGCAAGGCAGGTGGTGGAACCCCTGAGCTAAATCCCCGGCCCTAACCTTAGACTTTTGAAGAAGGATTATTGTGAACTGAATGTTTGTGTTCCCCCAGAACTCATATGTTGAAACCCTAATCTCCTGTGTGATGGAATTTAGTGATGGGGCCTTTGGAAGTAATTATGTTGAGATGAAGTCATACAGGTGGAGCATTCATGATACCACTAGTGCTCTTGTAACAGGAGACATCAAAGAGAGCTCTCTGCCCTTCCCCTACATCACCCCCAACCCACCATGTGAAAACACAGCAAGAAAGAAGCCCTTGGAAAGCCCCAAAGAGAGTCTGAATCAGGGAACCACACTATCAACACCTTGATCTGGGAAGTCAATATGGAAATAAATTTCTCTTATTGAAGCTTCTCAGTATTTTCTTTCTTTCTTTTTCTTTTTTTTTTTTTTGGTACCAGGGATCGAATTTGGTACCTTGCGCTTGTGAGGCAGGGGTGGCACCACTGAGCTAAATCCCTGGCCCCTCTCAGTATTTTCTGACAGCCCAAACAGACTCATAGGAAGATGAAGTGAGATTCAAAAAGAGTTAAAGGAGGAGCTGGGGATTTAGCTCAGTGGTGCCGTGCCTGCCTTGCAATTGCAAGGTCCTGAGTTCAATTCCTGGTACTGGAAAAAAAAAAAAGAATTAAAGGGGAAACAATAGGTACTTTTTAGTATGGGAAAGACAAAGTCATTATGTAAAGCATATACATAAATGTTGGGTTGTTTAATCTGCTCATTACATAAATAGGAACATACTAAATACTGCTCATTAAATTACTTTTTCCACTCAACCTATCTTGGATGTCTTTCATGTCTGACATATAGATCTACATATTCTTTTGGTACTGGGGATCAAACTCAGGACCTTGTGATTGCAAGATAGGCACGATGCCACTGCGCTAAATCTCAGCCCCTCTATGTCTTTCTTTTTCAAAGCTAAATGATGTAGTCAGCATACTGTGTGATGAGTTAACTGATGGGCATTTAGGCTGTACACATTCTTCACTATTACAGAAAAGTTGCTGTGACTATCCTTGGGTACTTGTCAACACAGCTCTGTGGGGAAGATACTCAATTAGGATTGCTTACCACAGAACTGATACAGTTTAAGATGTTGATAGGTTCAAATAGGCCCTCCGCAACCTACTCATTTATCCATCTATGGGTTTACTGAAAGTTTTTGGCTCACCTCCTTCCCAGCTTTTGAAGGGTGGCAGAGACCTGCAGGTGTATCAGAAATAAACTGTTTTCACAACGGAATCCCCAGTCATTCAGCGTCCTCTGCCACTTCTACCTCCCACCTAGAAAAAAATCCAAACAAAACTGCTGCTACTGCCCCCAAGCAGGGCATCAGTATTACGATGGTATTTGGAACAATCAGTCATGAATCTTGTAAACCAGGAGCAAGATGTGCTCATTTCCACAGCTCTTGCCTTATCTGATACTGCATTACTTCCTTCCACAGCCTGCACAGGAAGCTGGGGACTGACTTTGCTAAAATTGACTGCCAGGGGTTTTCTAAAGCTAATGAGGCCAAGCAGTGGATGTTGTTCCTTATGGAGTGGATGAGCTGTCACTAAGTCCTGTCAAGTGTTATCCTTTACTAGGCCCAGCATCAGACTGAGTCACACATACTGTGGATCACATTCATTGCAGTAAGCACCATAGTTCCCTGAACGCCTAGTCTGAACACTGACACCTGTGACTCCTGTCAACAACCTCCCATCCTCTCCTTGGCTATTCTGCACTCCAGTGACATCAATCCCTTTAATGTACCGACTTAACCCTCACTCTCCTGATCAAGGGTCTCCACTGACTCCTTGTTGCCTTTGAACACTGTCACTTGATAATTCCAGGCCTTTACCACCTGCCAGGCACCTCCACAAAGTTTCAGTCTTTGTGCCTATACTCTCCAAAGCTCTCTTCACTTCACTCAGAGCAGATGGACCGTGACCATGGAGCGTACTCTACACTTTCCCCACTTGTCTGAAACACCAGGTCTGTCAAAATCATGTCCAGCATGTCAAGCCCGGCTCCTGATGATTGCTCACTTTAGGACTTTCCAAATGCCATCCTTTGCTCAGTGGACATTACGGATCCTTCCCTACACAGTGCCCCTGGACAAATCTGCCCTGGAAAGGGAGTGTGAAGGCAGAAAGCTCACTTCAGCTTTCTGCCTGTTCTCTCAGAAGGAAATTAAGACCTAGGAGACTGCCCTGTGTGAAGGCCCATGGTGAACATGTTTTGTACATAGCATTCGTTCAGGGATTTTAAATGTGTCATAATAATATTTTATTAGTATACGTTCATGATACATAATAAATACTCTTCATGGGGAATTGGTATATATCATATCACTATCCTTTTCACTTCTCCATTTCTCCCTCCCATCTCCCACCATCCACAGAGCCCGTTCCTATCTCTCCATTTTTCTCCCTCTTTTGTATTATTCTTCTATTTTTCTTTTAAAATTATTTATATTTGGGGGTTCTCATATAAGAGAAACCACGTGATATTTAATCTTCTGGCTCTGGTTTATTTCACTTAGCATTATGGACTCATGGTGCATCCATTTTCCAACAAATGACTCAAATTTATCCATCTTTTTGGATGAGCAGTACTTCATTGTGTATGTATGCCATGCTTTCTTTATCTGAGGCTGCACTTTTTTTTCTTTACGCTGCACTTTTTAAAATAAGAGAAGTCAAACTTTAGCCATGGTGGCACATGTCTGTAATTCTTGGCCTTAGGAGGCTGAGGCAGGAGAACTGCCATGAGTTCAAGGCCAGCCTGAACTACATAGTTCAGGGTCAGCCTGGACAACATAGTGAGACCTTGTCTCAAAAAAAATATATCAAACTTTCCCCCAAGGAAAATCAGTGCATTTTCATTGCTAATTTGGTAATATTTTTCTCTAATTCAAAATTAGTAATACAAAGGCAGCTTGCTTTGTTTTTATGTTAAATTATGAGATCTGAGGCACCTGGGCCCACTCACCACTGGTGTGCACCTCAGAACCTGGGTCTGGAAAACAACCTTTCTGAGACTCTATGCTCTAACATGCTCCAGAAATGAAAACCGGGAGGTTCCTTCCTGACCTGCAGGCAACCAGGAGCCATGGTTTAGCTGAGAATCTTCTGTGTTAACACAATGGATACCCTCAGTCCTGAGACTCCATCACTCATCTTTCCATATCATGCATCCTCCTTTGAGATAAGGACCATGTCTTGTTCTCTTTTTAATGTCTCCTTCTGGTGAGGGCCCAGCAATGTTTTTTGCATAGTAGGCCATCAAGAAAGTCCTGTTCATGATGATGAAGAAATAGCTTAAGAGAAAATGATTTCATGTGTGTGAATTTTTATTTTCTTAAAATAACACAGCTACTTAGTGGAAGTCATACTAGGGAAATATTCTTTGCTGTACACCCCTAGAACCTGGGCCCCCTTCCCTCACTACCCTAACTGGAGTTGCTGACTACATGGCCACAGTAGGCATGTACCTGCTCACACTTGCTACAGTCTGAGAAGTTCCCAAAGGTGTTGCTCACACAAAATATCCTAAAAATATTTCCCCACTGCCCTAAAGTGCTGCCTCAATTTTCACCATTACTTAATTTTTTGGAGTAATTGAGGATTCTGTTACTATAATCATCTAATGAACCTGACTAGTTTGTCCAGCAGGCCCTCCATTTGTGTTGAACTCCCACAGCATTTAAGAAATACTCTTTATAACTGTACCACTGTAGTGTATTGAAATGATTTCTTCTTCTATTTCTTCAAGACATCGTAAACTACTTTTGGCTATCTCCAGCACCTGGAAAAACATCTGCCTGGTACATGGTGGTAGGCAGTCCTCAAAATGTCTCCCTGGTACATAGGGGGCTATTGAAAATACCGTTGAATTTAAGCAACCACTTTCTTAGGCAAGTCCTGGAGAGTTCTGAAAGGAGGACCTAAAAAAGGGCTGCTGATGCAGAGTCTGGCGAGGAAGTGACCCATCAAATGCCTTGCTTGATTGGCTTCTGCAAGGGAGGAGATAAACTTGCTTCTGTCACAGTTTGTTTTACCATAACCAGTGATTTACATTGAAGCAGAGTAGACTCTGGCTCCAGTAAGATGAAGAGAATTGTCCTTGGTAGTTATATCAGGAATAGAACCAGCTCTAATCTCAGTACTCTAGTGTTCCCATCCCAAAGAGACTGAGTCCAGTTCCTGAGGACAGGTCCTGCATCATATACATTTCTTGTGTTCCTAAGAGTCTAGCCCAGAGCCTGGTACATAATAGGAACTAAAACATGATAGCTAACGATTATGCAGTGCCACATACTCCACTAAGCATTTTATATGTATAGTACTTCATTGAATACCCGCAACAACACCAAGAGGCAGATACAGTATTCAGACGGGGAAACTAAAGCACATGTGGTATGTGACCTGCCCAATATCACATAGTTTCAGGATCCATGCTTTTGCATATTACATCCAGTGCATTTAAATGGAGTGAATGAACACGTCTCTCCCTGCACCATATCTTCTGGATCAGACTGTTTACCTGTCCTGATACACTGTGGCATAGTCTCTCCAACTAGACTAGACTATCCCTCCTACGTACACAATTCACCCTCTTCTTACCGGTGCTTCTTGCGGCGCCGCAGTTAGTTGCTGTGAGCACCTTTGGTCACCAGACGGCACCATTCACATATGTGCTCTTCGTCCTCCCTCCGGGGCTACGCAGCCCGTGAGGGGCGGTCCCTGCGTAGGGCGGAGCCCGCGGGACGCTGGGGAAGCCGGGGAAGCTATCCCGGTGGGCTGCGCGCGCGGCGGCGTTTGAATGCCTGTGAGTGGGTTCCGGCCCGGGAGCCGAGGGACGCTCTAGGCTGCAGGCGCTGTTCGTCAGCGCCCGGGCTGGGCTGAGGCGGCGCGGTACAATGAAGCGCCGGTAAGTGACGGCGAGGCGGTGCGGGCCCTTTCCTGTCGCTGGCTCCGCGCGCAGGGCTTCCGCGGCCGGGCTTCCGCGGCCGGGCTTCCGCGGCCGGGCTTCCGCGGCCGGGCTTCCGCGGCCGGGCTTCCGCGGCCGGGCTGGCGCCGCCCTGAGCCACCTGCGGGTCCCGCGCCGCCTCCCCGCTCCTGCCGGGCCGGCTGCGGGCTCGGGGACGCGGGCGGGGAGGTGCGGGCGCCCGGCGGGCCAGGGGCCGGGCGGGGAGGGGCGTGCCCGAGCCCTCTGTCACTTTTTCTTTCCGGGTGGCTCGGGGAGGACGGCACGCGGAGGCGAGCTGGCGCGGACAGGTTTCTCGGGCCGCCTGGTCCCGGTTCTTCCTCATTTCGCCACCCGTCCTGGGTCCCCTGACCCGCGAGCTTTTGTTTCGCAGGACAAAAACTTGACATAACTGCATAAGAATTGTTGATTGCAACTTGAAAACCGTCATTATGTTTTCTGAAGTGTTCCGTAGTAGTACCTAGGCTTTTACTGCGCTCTTAAATGAGATATATGGAGATAACAGAGTTGATTCGTTTTCTTTGGGCTTATAAAGTTCCTTGAAAACGCTCGTCTATGTCATTTCCTTTGCAGATTTGAAGATTAAAAAAAGGAAGATAAATTAGTTCTGTAATAATTACCAGTTCAGCACTTGCCAAAATTCTGAGGAACGAGTCCACCTAGTAGCTTAAGTTTGTGTAAAATAATCATCCTGGGTTTTTTTTTTTGGTACCGGGGATCGAACTCAGGACCTTGTGGCGGAACCACTGGGCCAAATCCCTGGCCCCATCCTGTTTTTTTAAACCAGTTTCAAACTTCAGTCAGAACTTTATACATTTGAGGCGTTTACTTGACTAACTGCTGGTATTGTAATAATAATGGGTAATATTTTGTTTTCTTACTTTTTTTTAGTGAATCATAAATTTTGGTATTTTTATAAATTTGTTTTTATTTTAGAAAATACAACATTTCATATAGGTTAGGAAATTCTCCAAGTTCATATTGCCAGTGGTAGGACTGTTCAATCTGACTAGATATGATAATGAAAATAATTATACCTAACTTTGTTTTCTACCTGCTTAGCATTGGGGGTTTTTTTTGGTACCGGGGATCGAACTCAGGACCTTGTGCTTGCCAGGCAGATGGCAGCACCACTGAGCTAAATCCCAGGCCCTGCTTAGCATTGTTTTAAGAGCTTTCCTTTGGGACAGATAGTGTTATTATCGCCATTTTGGCAGTGAGAAAACTGAGGCATAGGGAAATCAAGTGACTTGTACAAGGTTACACAGTTATTACAGCTGAAAACCCAACAGACTGCTCAGCGTTTAACTGTTCAGCTTTGCTACCTCTTTTATTTGTAGTTCTTAGCTTTCACAGTGCTTTCATTTCACCTTTGAAGGTTTGTGTGAGTGTGATTTTTGTGTATAAATTCATATCCCTTCAATTGAGTTCCCTGTTCATGTTGACTGTACTTGTTTTGTCCCTAAGCAAAAAAAATTATTGAATATTTTAAGATAAATGGAGTTCATAAGGTTCATGTGTATGATGTTTATACTGTAGGAAGTTAGTAAACTATGTATTATTTTAAAATGTATCATTATTCCTTAATATTTTCTTTTTAAAAAACTTACTGAGTAGCTATTTGTATATGGAATGAATACATTTAGCTATAGCTCCAGACAGGAAATGTAGTTCAAAAGCAAAGTCATAAGAAATCACCAGTTTACCGTTATTTATGACAGAGTTTTTAAACTTTGTTCATTATGAAGTTGTGAAGCTTTTTTTTTTTGATACCTGGGATCGAACTCGGGACCTTGTGTTTTCAAGGCAGGCGGCAGAACCACTGGACTAAATCCCCAGCCCCATGAAGCTTTTTTTTTTTGGTACTGGGGCTCGAACTTGGGTCCTTGCACTTGAGAGGCAGGCAGTGGAACCACTGAGCTAAATCCCCAGCCCTCCCATGAAGCTTTTGATTGCCTCAATTCCCAGCACAATGCTAGTTAGACCCAATTGGCTATACAAAAGAAATGTGCCAGACAACAAATCATAGGGAGGTTTAGTTTGGGATATGAGATAACAACAAAAAATGTATATGACATTCTTTATTAGTACAATTGATGTATGCTGAACTGAGTAAACTTTCTGCAAAGAGCCAACAACTGAAAGATTTATGAAGAGCATTGGATAGGTAGATGCAGAATTTTATTGAGGAAGCTGTTAAAAGACTTGGAATTAAGAATGAAAATAATTTTCCTTGGGAACAGCAAATCTGACCTATTTTGAAAGTTCATGTTTAGTAAGACCATGTGAGGTGAGGCTGAGGAGTGTTGGTTAAGACACACATGTTAGATCTATAAGCAGAAAGCAAGATGCAGTTTTGGAAGTTTTAAAAGTTTAAAGTTGATGCTTCTTGACTGGGAGCATTTTTCCCTCCAGGAGACATGGTAGTGTCTCATTGGGAGGACAGGGTTGCTCCTGGCAATCAACTGGCTAGAAGTCAAGAGTGCTGCTAGATGTCCTACAACAGGACAGGCACTCCGTAGAAAACAATCACCCTATGTGTCAGTGAAGCTGAGTTTGAGAAACCCCATTTAAAGTCGATTGTGTATATGAGTGCTGTAAAGGAAAGTATGAGTTAACGAATTTCAGGAGCATGAGTACAAATGATAATAAAGTTGAGGAGAAGTTGGCTCAGAGACTTCAAGAACTAGGCTGTTGGAAAAAACAAAACAACGCAAAAAAGAACTAGGCTGTTGGAATCCAGGGGAGGAGAGAGGCTGTAGGAGATGGATGGGTGTAGGAAAAATGCACATGTAGTCATAAATGAGACAATTACTTAAATATTTTTTCCAATTTTAAAAATAATGCATATTCATTGTGGAAAATTGGGGGAATATAGAGATAGTGTGAAAAACATGAAAATTACTTATAAAATATCCAGGCAGAAAAACAACTCTTAATCTTTTAATGTGATGGTTACCATCAAATCTTTTATGCTGATAACCATTTTCCTTTTTATAAACTGAGATTATACATTTTTCTCTCTGTGGGTTTTATTGTTTTTAACTCAGCTTATCACGAATATTTTCCGTTATTTGAAAAATACTTTTTTGGAAGGAGAGGAGGTTTGAGGCACGATCTCACTATGCAGTTCAGGCTAGTCTTGAACTCACTGTGTAGCCCAGGCTGGCCTTGAACTCATGGCAATCCTCATGCCTCAGCCTCCTGAGTGCTGGGATTACAGATGTGCACCACCATCTCCAGCCAAAAAATACTCTTTCTAATGATGTTAGTGTTTGTTTTAATGTGTTCTTTTAACGGAGAATTTTGCTTTACATACAAAAAAGATATTTTGAAGGAAGAAATATTAGAACACATTGTTTGATTAACTATAAAAAATGAGTAAAAAGTATAAAAGTTTTCTATTGGGAGGCTGAGTAAAACCGCTGAAATATATTGGGATTCTTATAATAATTTTTATTTTATGGATGTAAAGTGCAATTCAACTGCATACTGAGATTTTAATGAAGACCTTCGTATCTGTCAGCTTATATTTTTCCTAAAACATAATTTAAAAAACTTTTTACTTTTATTTTTTTATGCTAAAGTCCTTTTTCTGAAATTAAAAATTTTTTTCCTATTAAATAGTAAGGTTTAGGTTCATTGGTCATGACTTCACTGTGAGAACGGAAGGGCTAGTTCTCATTTTTTAAAAAATGTACCCCTTAAAAAAAAATGCACCCATCAAGGCCGGGGATTTAGCTCAGTGGTTCTGCTGCCTGCCTCAAAAGCGCAAGGTCCTGAGTTCCATCCCTGGTACAAAAAAAAAAAAAATGTACCCATTGCTACAATTTTACAAACAAGAGGTGAATATAATTTACTCTTTTTTCAGGGGAGTAGGAATTATCTTTAAAGGCTTGACCACATAACATATACTTACCAATGTTTTATCAGACATTAGATTTGATTGTTATTGTTTGAATGACCCTGCCAAGATTAATTTAACTGTTGTTATGACAGTATTTTGAGGTAGAGCCTAAAGGGCCATGCGGACAGTACTTAGGTCAAGAGGGCTCCACCCTTATGAAGGAGTGGGTTAGTGATCACATTCTGATGAGGTTCTCTTGCTGGCTCTTTCCAGTTACACTTTGCTCCCGTCTTCCATTCCACTGAGATGTAGCAAGAAAGTCAGGTGTGGTCCTTTGATCTTCTCAGCTTTCATAACTTTTTTTGGGGTGGGTACCGGGGATCGAACTCGGGACCTTACGCTTGCGAGGCAGGCACCGGAACCACTGAGCTAAATCCCCAGCCCTACTTCCAGAACTTTAAGGAATAAATTTCTTTGTAAGTTACCTAGTTTATAATATTCTGTAATTGCAGTGGAAAATGGGCTAAGATATTGATTATATCAGTTTAATTTGATGCTTCATGGAAAATATTTTTAGGAAAGCTTAAAAAAACCTACCACATTAAGCTTACGACAAGTAAACTTTTCAAATCAGATAGGATAAATTTGACTTTTCTTTACCAGGTTCAAATATTGTGCTAAATATTTCTTGCTCATCTCTAAGTATTTTCTCACTAACACCTTTATATCCATTAGCTTGGGAAAAGTTACTATTAAATTTATTATCCTGTTCTTAAGGCCTGATGAAGGTAGAGATGAGGAAAGAGTGTTCTGAAAGGTCTACCTAGTTGATTCCCTTCCTTGTGACCACCTCTTTCCTTCAGTTTAATACTGCCTGAAGTTCTTTTTGTCTCAAACAAGTCACCCAGAAAACTACCACCTAAGAATGAGTCACGAGCTGTCCATCCTTGCAACCCCTCTTCTCACAGGTTTTAAGAGTCTCCTGGCTTGGTCTTACAGTGGGAAAGGCACTATTACTCAGGGTCCCAGCTTCTAAACCTGGCTCTCCTACTAGTAATTGAGTGTGCTTAGGCAAGTCACCTGAGTTATCTTGGGT